AAATGTTATCTGGCAAACATTTTGAGAAAACTGTGTAGGCAGCCAGTGCTTCCTCTGTTTCTTTTCATTCTGCAGCCCTTCCTTACCGCCATGAAATAAACTGAGGTTGTTTTCTTCAGAGTAAGAACAAAAAACGTTGCCCTGTTATTTAACTCTTTTTCTTTACCCCCATCTCCCCTTCTACCTGTGTGTGCACGAGAGAAGTCTTTCTCTCCCCCTGTAATGACTTTACTGCAGTTTTAATTATTATTTTTTACTGAATTTTCTACTTTTAAATTTGCCCCTAAAACTGCATAGAACATTAATATATTCTCCAGAAATCTTCAGTTGAAGCATGCCATCATTAATTTTCCTATAATTATATGCATCAGATTTAGATTTTGTTGTTGTTGTTCAACATTTTCCCTGATTAGTTGCATTCACTGTGACTCATCACTGTATTTTGGATTATCCTGGACCTGAATGCCACCATTTGGTATCCAAGCCCCCAACCAAAGTCCTGCTTGGATGCATTTTGGCTCGCCTGCTGATGATTTCATCAGTGTGTGGTGATTTAGACCTGCCACTTAGTAGCAGTTGCCATGACATTACCATGTTAGCCTCTACGTAGCTCCATCTTCTTTCAGATATTGTGCTATATCGGTATATCGTGATGTTTAGCTGGTGATATATCATGATATTGAAAACCAGATATCGCCCAGCCCTAACATACAGTACTTTGCAACCTGCCCTTCTCATGTTCCAAGGTCACATTTCTCTCACACTTAGCCTGGATTCTGGGCAAGGACTTCTGCCTTTTACTCTCTCACTCCACCACTAGGCTTGTAGCTGTTTTTAATCATTCCCCACCCCACTAAATATTTTCCAGTCTGGTATAACACTGCCCTCCACAATTATGTGAGGATTATTGAGTACAGGCTCTGCGCACCAACACACAAAACAGGCACTTCCCCCAAAATGTTACTTTCACAAGCCAACAACCCAATGTTGTTGTTGTTTTCTAAAAAATGTTTAGGGGTACTCTCATTTTGACTCAAGAAAATCACCGTTTTATAGTTCAAATCAGGAAAAATAAATACAGTAAATGGACAAAAGTACAAAGATTCGCAAAATGTTTAGGGGTATGCGTCCCCCTGTGTCCCCCCAGAAAAAAGCACTGCAACAACCAAACAGAACTGACCTGCTCAAGATGTATGAGGTTGAGGGGACCCAGCTAAGGCTGTGTGCACATCACGCATTGAAAGCACATCCTTTTCCACACACAACCCAAATGCGGAGAACAGTAGTTTGCCCCTCACAGAGCTACAATTCCCAGAAGCCTTTAAAACACACACACACACACACACGTACAGTTCCATTAAATTTGCTCTATTTGTTTAAAATGGGGGGGGGGGATCAATAAAAATGAATGGGCAAGAAAACCAAACCAAAGAAACTACAGTTCCCAGGATTCTTTGGGGGAAATTAATGTGCTTTAAAGAGATAGCATCGTGCCTGCAGCCGAGCCTTCACCGAGAAGGTATTTTGGAGCCACTGCCTAGGGAACAGGAACAAGCTATAAATCTAACTTGAAACTGGAGACGACACGCAAAACAGAACCTCGTTCTTGTTCCCTGAGAACATTCCCTCCACCAGTTTTTTGGTTTAAAACCCTTCATTTTCTTGGGCGGGGGAAAGAAATCCCTTCATTCTAAGAACAGCAGAGGCAGCGGCAAAACAGAGAGACAGAAAAGGCATCCCACAACACACCAATGTTTTGTTTAATAGGGGTTTCCACTCAAGGCCTGTTAAAGGAAATGAGGCCTTGGACTACAACTCCCATCAGCCCACCCTGCCGCGGCGGAGGGCCAGGGACGATGGGAGCGGTGGTTCAGGGTGGCAGCAGGGTCCCTCTCCTTCGCGTCCTCCGCTCTGCAGCTGAATGGCAGCCGGAAGTGGGAGCTGTGTGCCGCGCTCGGTTCTTTCCCCACGAGCCGCGGAGCCTCCTGCGCTCCCTCGCCCTCGCCGCCGCCGCCCCAAGCTCCGCTTTGCTGGTTGGCAGATGCGCCTCTTACCGGAAAGCTAAGGCGAGCTGGTCCTTTGCACGCCGCCGCTGCAACTCCACGCACCTGCGGGGCAGACCATGGTGAAGAGCAGCAACAGCTGCCTCTCCCCTTCCAGGAGGGATGGAGGAAATCCAACACAAGGGAGCCGGAGGGGGAAGCGGCGGCAGAGCAAAGGAGAGCCAATCGGTGCAGGAGCCCATGCAAGGAGGCCTGCGAGCCTGCAAGGGAAAAGGGAGCAGGCACCCAATTCCCTCTCCGTTAGAGAGCGCCCTCCCCTGTTGCAAGGAAGGGACCCCGCGCAGCCTCGTGCAGGGAGCGACCGGCCAACATTAGACTGCCACCGCGGAATACCGTGTTTGCATTTTGATTCAGTCGTCCGGTTAGAAAGCTATCCGATCAGAGAAAGGGCTTGAATGTTACTCCTTTGCGCGTTGGGGGGTTTAGCGTGCGTGAGGAACAAACTCAGTAGCCCACCTGGCATGTTGGCTTGTTTTCCTATTCGTGTTTATAGCCCAGCCCACCCTTCGCCATCAGGTCTCAGGGTGGGTTAGGAAAGCAAAGCAAATGCAGTTTATAGGAGAGTTATAAAGAAAACGGCTCAGGACTGCAGTACCTCAAGGTACCTCTTCACCCAGACCTTGCGATCATCATCTGAGGCCCTTCTTCATGTGCCTTCTCCACAAGAGAGAGGCATCCAGTTGGCCACTGTGAGAACAGGATGCTGGACTATGTGGGCCTTTGTCTCTTATCTAGAATGGCTCTTTTCGTGTTCTTAATGTCACAAAACAACAACAGTAAAATAAAAAGTTCTGCTTCAAGTGTCGAAAAAACTTGTTAAGTCACTGCAAGGTTACATTGCAAGGTCCTCTTGTGGGAAAGGAATATAAGAAGGGTTAAATTGTTTTCTGGTAGAAAACCTTGATTTTGTTGGCAATTCTGTTTTCCCTTCAGTGATTTTTGATGCTACAAAAAGCTGCTTTGTTTCCTTGGAGGTAGCAGGAGCTAGAAATCATGTCACCTTTAGAGTTTTGGAGTAAGTTGTCAGCAATATGCTGATGACACACAGCTCTACTTCTCCGGACCTTGGGACTGGATGAGAGCTCATTCCAAATAAGACTGAGGCACTGTTAGTGTGAAGCAGATTTGCAGATTTCTGTGCTCGGATAGGTTAATCCTATGCATAGGTACAGTGGTACCTCGGGTTACAGACGCTTCAGGTTACAGACACTTCAGGTTACAGACTCCACAAACTCAGAAATAGTACCTCAGGTTAAGAACTTTGCTTCAGGATGAGAACAGAAATCATGTGGCGGCAGCGGGAAGCCTCATTAGCTGAAGTGGTACCTCGGGTTAAGAACAGCTTCAGGTTAAGAACGGACCTCCAGAACAACTTAGTTCTTAACCAGAGGTACCACTGTACACTTAAACTCACCAATGAGTCCAGGTGTGACACAGGATATACAGGTTTACTTCTATTACTCTCCAGCAAAATATGATTTCTTTTCTAGAACTGCCTTGTTCAAGGTCAAGAGCATAAAGTTTATCCGGTACATTTGACTTTCCACCTTGTGATTAAGTATGTTGCCATGTGTGCCAAAAGAAACATTCATTCTTTTTTTACCTGTGGTGATGAAGAATTACACAATAGAGAAAAATAAACAAACACCAGCCTGCATTCAGGCTCTATTAAGGATCTTTTCAAAATCTGATGTTACTCAATAGAGCCCAAGACTACTTCTTACTTTTGAGTAAATCCCCACTTTGCTCAAGGGGACTTTCTGCCCGAGACCCGCGCACATGGTTGTTATCCCTGCCCCACAGAAGGGTGGTGGTCAACCATGTTTTACTCAAGAGCAGACCCACTGAAATTAATGAACCTGGCTAAGGAAATTAATCTCAATGGGTCTGTTCTGAGAAAAAACTTGGCTGACTACCAAAGTACAGTGGTACCTCAGGTTACATACGCTTCAGGTTACATTCGCTTCAGGTTACAGACTCTGCTAACCCAGAAATAGTGCTTCAGGTTAAGAACTTTGCTTCAGGATGAGAACAGAAATCGTGCTCCAGCGGCATGGCAGCAGCAGGAGGCCCCATTAGCTAAAGTGTGCTTCAGGTTAAGAACAGACCTCCAGAACAAATTAAGTACTTAACCCGAGGTACCACTGTAAACACAAATATGACAGACACACAGTAGCTGGCTGTTTACAGGGCCTCCTGGGCTATATGTGCAAAACTGAGCCACCAAAGGATGCCCGCATTGAGGTGCCAACTTAAATAAAATATGGGGGGGGGCTAGGTAAGCCCCACCTTACTCAGAAAATGCTGCATATGCACACCATTTGAAAGGCAATACCCAGCAACTTTTTGGGGGGGACTCGACCCCCTCAAACATTTTATTTGGGGGGGGCTCTGAAGGGCCCTCAGCCCCTAAGAGTTTGCTCCTATGCCTGCATTCATCCAGCAGTTGTGAGCAGCATCAAAAATGTAAACGAGATCTTCGGTTTTCTTTTTGGTTTATTGATTTTCAGTTACAAAAGCATTTGATACATTCACGGAGAGAAAAGATACGATCAACAACAACAACAACAGGTTGGAGTACAAAGCCATCACAAAACAAAAAAGGGGAAAATATAACAGAAGCAATCGCAGATCCTCGTTCCATCGGGGCTTGCCCGTGGCTCCAGAGCACGAGGCCAGCTTCGCCTTTCTGCCCCCGGCGCGCCCCGGGAGGCGAAGAAAACAGCCCGAGCGGAGCCCGGCCCTCTCGCTCCGACGCCAGGCGTTGTGTTTACACGGGAGGAAAGCCCGCTAAGGCTTTTTTGCACGCCCAAGCAACCGCTCCGTCCCCTGACACGCCGCTCCTGCATGAAGCAGCAGCAGCAGCAGCCAGCGCGGCCCTCCCACCCGGCCACTCCTCCTCCGCCGCCGCCGCGTGTCCCCGCCTCCCCTGGCGGCCCCCTCGTTTCCTGCTGCTGGCGGAGGCCGAGGGAGAAGGTGGCGGTGGAGGCGGTGGACGGAGGACAAGAAGCGCCCCGCAGCCGGAGCGAGCCTCGTCCGCGGAGGAAGCGCAGCAGCGCCGCCGCCCCCACCACCTCCTCCTCCTCCTCCCGCTTTCCTTCCGTGTGTGTGTGTGTTTGTGTGCATTTGCTCCACCGCCGCCCCCTTCCTCCTCCTCCGCTTCCCTTTGCAGCCCCTTCGCGTCTCTTCCTCCCCGCAGCCCGGGACAATAGAAGCAAGGGAGATGTCCTCCTCCGGCGGCGGCGGCGGCCACCAGCACAGCCAGAGCCGCGCCATTCCCACCCGGACGGTGCTCATCAACGACTCCTCGCAGCTACCTCATGACTATTGCACCACGCCCGGGGGGACGCTGTTCTCCACCACGCCCGGAGGTAACATCAGAGCAGTAATAATCAGCCTCATCATCTTGATGCACGCAGGCCTTGCCGAGAGCTGTCGGTTGTGCATTTGCTCGCGGGCATTGCAAAAGGGGGCGCGGGCGCCCTATAGGTCGGGGTGGAGGGAGGAAGAAAAGGAGACGTTGCAGGGGCGCGCGCGCCAGCGAGCATGCCCAGCCAGGCTTTAAAAAGGGGGACGAGGCCTCTAGAGGCGAGGCCGTCAATCATAAATGTAGCGGCGGGGTGGGCGTGTAATTTTCTCTCCCCCCCCCACCCTTAATAAGGTTGAGGAGGAAGTTGGGAAGCTAAGTCGCTGAGTCTCCAGGCCATATGCTGGGAGCCCCCTTTGGTGGGCCTTGCTCTGCCCGGGTCTGCGCGCAAGATAGAAAGACGCGTGTTGGCGCGCGCCCCGACTCATGGCGGCGAGGTGGTTCTCTCTTTCCCCCTCGTTGCCCGAAAGGGGAAGCTGCTTTGGTGTACAAAGCATGGTGGGGAAGGGGGAGTTTGCCCCCAGAGCTAACGGGGAGGCTCTTCCCTCCTTCTCTCCCCCCCCCTCTTCCCGTCGTTAGTTTGCCTTGCCGCTTTCCTGGGCCGACCCGGGTTTAGCTAGGCCGCGCTCCCGGTGCGCGGGGCTGCTGGCGGCGAGTTATTTGTAAACAAGGCCCAGGAGCCTCGAGGAAAAAGCCCGTGACGGTTGCACAATCGCAGGGGAGGAGCGCCGAGGCGGGCGGGGGATTTCTCCGACAGCTGCAGCCCCTGCAGGGAGACGGAGCGCCGGCTCCGCCGAGGGGTCGGCCAGCCTCCCAAGACAGGGGGAGATCGAGGGATCCCGACCAAAAAGAAAGGATAACCCTTTTGCAGAGCTAGCGGGGATACAGATTGTGCCAGCCAATGTTTTGCACAAGCCTCCGCTGTTCAGGCCTGTCCCTGGGAATTCAGCCTGCTGCTGCTTTCCTGAATGACTTTGTTTTAAAATTTAAAAGGCTCGGGCGCCAGAGCCTCTGCGATCTTGTATGTTTTAAAAGGCATAAAGGGTCTCTGCCACTCCTGTGTGGCCCTATAGTAAAATAAACACCTTTGCTCCACCCTGAATGATTAATTAATGTTGTATTCTGTGGCGTTTTACATGCATTGAATACTGTACTGGCAGAAAGAAGGTATGAAGGCAAGGCAAGCAAGATTCCTCATTTTACTGGTTGAGAGCTGGTTTGAGATTATGTACAGAACAGAGCAGGGTTTTTCTCACTCCCCTCCCCCCACCCCTAGTTGGGTAGGCATTGCACTTTTCCTGGTTCACACCCCAAAGCTCATTGCTGAAAAATGTGGAAGTAGGTCCTGCATTCTGAGCTGTTTCTTTCTGAAAGACAAGACGAAAACAATAGGGTTTGGAACCTGCTGCTTCTCTGTAGCCTAGACATTAGGACTTGGCCTGAAGCTTAGTTTAGTTTCCAGCCACTTAAAAGGCAGGCATTAGCAGCTTTGTCCATCTTTCTTTTCATTATATATGCTTGAAATGCTGAATTGCAAATTATGGTGGCATGTGGCTTTCATGGCATTAGAATCATTGCAGCTAACGAAGTTGGATCTGGACCTCAAAAGCAGGTGACACAATAAATCTTTCAAGTCCTTAAGCCTTACAGTTTAAGGTGTCAAAATGTTCTTCATAAACTAAATGGTGACACTGTGCCAATTCCATACCATTGTTCTCTTCCCAATTTATCAACTTCATGCCTGCCTTTGGCTGCTATTCATGTCACGCGCACATGCTACTTTGATTTGTGCATACATAGGCATTATAGATTGTGGGCCCCCTAAACCCTAGAAATTGATAAATGGTAGGATTTTGATGATTCGGGATGTGAAGGGAGAAAGCAAACTGCAGAGGAATTCCTGGGCTAGTCTATGCAAAACTACCTAGCCAATCTAGGGCCATTAAGAAACCATTGAAGGTCATTAGCAATGCAAGACAACTGTCTTTCTCCCCCTTGCCCTGAGGTGTGAACAGAGACAGGGGTTAGGAATTTTGCAAGCGTAACTGTGTTTGAGGTGTCAGGAAAAGGGAGTCTTGGTAGCAAGGGGTTCTAGGAAGGAGAAGGAGGAAGAGAGATTGGAATCCATCTTTGGCCAGGCTGGCTGCAAAGCTGACTGGGGGAGATGTCTTGCACTCCAGGACTGCACTTCTCTGGTGTACAAGCCTCTCTTGAAATGACTGTGCTGTGAGATCTGTACTCCCTCCATGCAGACTGAAGGTGAATAAACCATATTTCTTAAAGCTACAACAGTCCATTATGTCTCAATTCTCCAAAGGAACACAGACCCTGGGAGAGTGCCTGGAACCCCATGGGCTTTTTGCCACCAATTGGCAGAGAAAGGGGGAGGCACCCAACTTTTATAACACAGAATTGCAGCCTTTCCTGCTACCCACTTTGGTGAGTCCTGGCAGGCTTGTAGGGTTAAAAAAGCTGCTTAATTTTACCTTTGCAGCTAAAATTGTGCCTCTTTGGAACGGGGCTACCTGTGAGCCTTCAAAAGGCCTTCTTAAGGAGTTGCAGCTTTCCTTTTTTCAACAGTAGATTTCCCTCATGAACTCATTGCTTCCTGTGTATTCTGCTTTTCCTCTTTTAATCTAATCATTTCAAATTACTCGTGATTTTAGACAGTACAGTGGTACCCCCGCAAGACGAATGCCTCGCAAGACGGAAAACCCGCAAGACGAAAGGGTTTTCTGTTTCGGAGGCGCTTCGCAAGACGAATTTCCCTATGGGCTTGCTTCGCAAGACGAAAGCCCATAGGGAAATCTCCGGGGACCTGTTTTAAATTGCTGGCGGTCGGGAGCAAAGACTTTCGCCCACAGCCGGCCTTCAGAAGAGGTCCTGGACCTCTTCTGAAGGCCGGCGGGGGGCAAAGGTCTTTGCTCCCCCCCGCCTGCCTTCCCGGGACAGCGGAGACTTCTCCGCTGCCCCGGGCGATCTTAAAATGCTGGCGGGCGGGAGCAAAGCGTTCGCTGCCGACCCCCAGCATTTTAAAATCTCCCCGGGACAGCAGAGAAGTCCCGCCCCGCTCGGGATGGCGGCGCAGAGCTGTCTGCCGTGCCGGGATCAGCGCAGCTCTGCGCGGCCATCGGGAGCCGGGGGCGAAGCCCGCCCCGCTACAGATGGCCGCGCAAAGCTGCCTGTAGTCCCGGGACTGCAGGCAGATCTGCGCCACCATCCCGAGCGGGGCGCTAAGTCCCGCCCCGCTCGGGATGGTGGCGCAGAGCTGTCTGCCATCCCGGGATCAGCGCAGCTCTGCGCGGCCATCGGGAGCCGGGGGCGAAGCCCGCCCCGCTACAGATGGCCGCGCAAAGCTGCCTGCAGTCCCAGGACTGCAGGCAGATCTGCGCCACCATCCCGAGCGGGGCGCTAAGTCCCGCCCCGCTCGGGATGGCGGCGCAGAGCTGTCTGCCGTCCCGGACTGCAGGCAGATCTGCGCCACCATCCCGAGCGGGGCGCTAAGTCCCGCCCCGCTCGGGATGGCGGCGCAGAGCTGTCTGCCATCCCGGGATCAGCGCAGCTCTGCGCGGCCATCGGGAGCCGGGGGCGAAGCCCGCCCCGCTACAGATGGCCGCGCAAAGCTGCCTGCAGTCCCGGGACTGCAGGCAGATGTGTGCCGCCATCCCGAGCGGGGCGCTAAGTCCCGCCCCGCTCTGGATGCCAGCGCAGAGCTGTCTGCCGTCCCGGGACTGCAGGCAGATCTGTGCCGCCATCCCGAGCGGGGCGCTAAGTCCCGCCCCGCTCTGGATGCCAGCGCAGAGCTGTCTGCCGTCCCGGGACTGCAGGCAGATCTGTGCCGCCATCCCGAGCGGGGCGCTAAGCCCCGCCCCGCTCTGGATGCCGGCGCAGAGCTGTCTGCCATCCCGGGACTGCAGGCAGATGTGTGCCGCCATCCCGAGCGGGGCGCTAAGTCCCGCCCCGCTCTGGATGCCGGCGCAGAGCTGTCTGCCGTCCCGGGACTGCCATCCCGAGCGGGGCTAAGTCCCGCCCCGCTCTGGATGGCGGTGCAGATCTGCCTGCCGTCCCGGGATCAGCGAAGCGTTCGCTGCTGACCCCCAGCATTTTAAAATCTCCCCGTGTCCCGGTGAGATTTTAAAATGCTGGGGGTCGGCAGCGAAGCCCTTGTTCCCCCCCAGCCCCCAGCCTTCAGAAGCCCTTGTTCCCCCCCCCCCCAGCCTTCAGAAGAGGTCGGGGGACAGACTGTCCCCGGACCTGGTCTGAAGGCGGTTTCCCTAGGAACGCATTAATTGATTTTCAATGCATTCCTATGGGAAACCGTGCTTCGCAAGACGAAAAACTCGCAAGAAGAAAAAACTTGCGGAACGAATTAATTTTGTCTTGCGAGGCACCACTGTACTCATCTGTTTCTTTGACACATGGTAATTCGCTGTCCTGTGTGTCTGCTGAATGAAAGTAATAGGAACGGGTGTTATGCATAGAACAGTGGTGGGAACCTCATTTCAACCCCCTTCACAGCAGCCTTCTAGAAGCCACGTGCCTCTGGGTGGCAAGGCCAGAGTTGAAAGTGGGTGGAGCAAATAATGTAAATTTTACCACTGTACTAGTTTCAACATGCACTCACCCTCCTCCCACAAATCCTTGCTCCAGGCAAGCAAGAAGCATTATCAGAACTCAAGGGCACATTCCTGCAAGGCAAAAATGAGGGTGCCAAGTGGGGGTTGCTATGAGGAGAGCCCCAGAAGCTAAGTAGAGAGGCACAGGGGGCTGTATCTGCACTCCTGCCCTGAGGTTTCCCATCCCTGGCATAGATCCCTGTCAGGTTGCAAATTTTTTATTCTGTTTTGATCCAAACTTGCTGTGATTGGGGATTTAACTAATTAAAATCAGTGACACGTTCATACACTTCCCTAAAATAGCCTTTAATATTCTACACTTGGAACAAAGTGTCCTCCAGTGATTAATTCAGTTATAATGATAAGATTTTATTTGTGCACACGTAGA